GGTTGTGGGCCCTGCTTTTCTTTTGGGAAACGACTTTCGAAAGATCAATTATTTTGGGTTACATGAACTTTCCAAGAAATATATATATATATATATATGTATATTTTTTTTTGGTAAAATATATATATGTATATAAAAGCTTATGAATCATGTGTTTGGAATATAGTCTCCGTCTATTCACGAGTCAAGGTCAAGCAAGTATATAAAAGCTTATGAATCATGTGTTTGGAATATAGTCTCCGTCTATTCACGAGTCAAGGTCAAGCAAATGAGCAAATAATTGTGGACAAAAACAAAACTGGAAAATTTGATGCAAAAGATTGTGGAGAGCATTGGCAATGAATCTTCAAAGAATATCCATTTTTTTATGCCAATTCAATCTAGTTTGAGGTTGAACACTCCTCGTGCTCCATCTCCATAAATAAAATTTTAATTTCTCCAACCGGGAAAAAAAATTTGCCATTACACTGTGTTTCAGAATTTTAAATACAGTCCTTTTTTTTTTGGATAGAAAGTACACTACAAACAAAGTGGCCTATACCAACGGAAGCCTATACCAATGGACAAGAATCTGTTTGTATAAAATCAAGTATACCAACAGAAAATTGGAGCAGTTAGTATACATTGATCTATACCAACGGAAAAATATATCCGTTAGTATAGAATAGGTTTATACAAACGGTTAATTGATTATCTGTTTGTATAGAGTATATCTATACAAACGGATTACTGTATTTTGTCGGTATAATCCACTGTATCTGAAACACTTTTTCATTTCAATCGATCGCATTACAACAATCATTTCACTTCCCTCCCTGTATTCCCAAATCTCCCTCTCGAAATCCCTAGCTTCCCTCTCCCAAATCTCCACAATTTGTATTTGATTTTGATAAAACTCAAAGACCCATTCAGCCAGCAGTAGAAATTTTCACTTCCCTCCACAAATTCCCAAATTTCCCTCCCGAAATCCCTAGCTTCCCTTTCCCAAATCTCCAGATTTTGATAAAACTCAAAGACCCATTCAGCCAACAGTAGAAATTTTCACTTCCCTCCACAAATTCCCAATTTTTTCTCCCTTAATCCCGAGCTTCCCTCCCCAGGTAAACCTAGGTGTTTCGCCCCTCTCCCAAATCTACAAAATCTGTAATTGATTTTGATAAAACTCAAAAACCTAAGTGCTTTGGTTCCCATCCAAGCAGTTTGCCCCCTCGCCCTTGTTTGCGTCCACAACATCACCTCCAATCACCACCTTGTCCTTAGCAACTGCCACATCCCCAGGGCCACCCTTCCCCACAACACACTTTCCAAATGCCTCCGGCTTCAAAACACTGCCAACCACAACCTCTTCAAACCCATCAAGAAGCCGAGGCATCATGCCGATCAAAGCATTTCTCTTGGCGTTGTAGGGACTAGGATCTTCTAGGTAGCCAAGTTCTTCTTCATCATCATCATCATCGGTGTCGAAGAGCTTGGCTTCACGGTGGAGGCAACTTTGGCATCTCCCTTGGCATTGTAGGGACTTTGGGGTGCGCAACAAACTTTTTGTCCATTCTCCAAAGAGAGTAAAGAAAAAAAAAATTACGAGATCTCTTTCAGGTAGCTCTCTCTTCCTCACTAATTCTACAATTAACTCTGTGTTTTTGTTCGATTTCGTGTTCTTCTCGTTTAAGCTAACTACGTATGGCGATCTACGATTTGGCGCGTTGTTGTCTTAGGGTTTAGGTCATGGCGTCGAAGCAGATCTTGAAGGAGCTCAAGGATCTCCAGAAAGATCCTCCAACCTCTTGCAGTGCAGGTTCAATTCAATTTCAATCTCTCTTTTATGTTCCATTTTGCGTTTCTGCCTGCTGGATTCATTGCTCTGTTTTTTTTTTTCCTCTGTCTCTCTCTTTCTTTCAAGTATTAGTGTGGCGATTTGTTTGTGTTTGAATTTTATGAGAAAATAG